ACCAATTGGTAGTTAGTTAATGTTCACACATTTATGGTTCTCGAAACATTACGTTAAAACTAATCATATGGAGTGATGTATGTTCGAGACATGTTTTGTAGTAGGGCGTGCAAGTAATGATGTGCTTAAAAACAGACAAACACGAACTTACATCTTCCTAAATGATCCAATCAATCCAACAAGAAACTTGAACCTAACAACAGTTTTTGTCTATAAAAATTTCCTTTAAATTTGTTACATATTGACTTAGGGAAGAAAACACCTTAACTTTGACACCTATTTTGACATAGCTAGGCTGTATTTGACAAATGAGCTGCGTATGGTTATTTTAGTAGAACCTATAGCGTTATTCATACACTAGGAGTTCGTTTTTGTATCTTGACAACTACAGGATTTATATTATAGGTATAATTAATTGGTAATTACTTTGTACAAATCAATGCTGATGTGTGTAAAGGCATGGATTTTCTAGCTTACACAATAAGGTTTAATTTTATCTTGAGAAAGTATGTGTAAATAATTAACCCCCTTGATTGAATAGAAAGAATGGCCCAGGTGTATGAGTCTGCACTCCTCTTTAAAACCAGTCAATCGAAGCGTACTTTAGGGCAATAGAGTTAGGTTTTATATACCATGGTAAAATAAGTAATGCTTACAAAGCAGAATAGAGAACGAAGTGGAGGAAGCTCTTGTAGTAACATAAGTATTTTTCTGTTAAGGGGGAGATAATGTAAAAATCATAGCTGTTGCAGTTTGTGGGTAAATGAGATTTAAATATAGGTTATATAAAATAATACAAACAGCTAATTTATTCTCTTAAAAATTACATGAAAATATCTTTTAATATTAGAAAACTATTAAATTTGAAAAAAATCCATACAGGACTAATTTGACTATTGTCAATTGGTACGGGTCAACAATGATTGATCAAATATTTTACAATTCAAATAAGTATTTAAATAGTTTGTTTTAGTTAAATAAACATAATTTTCATTTCGAAACTAAAGGAAGCAGTTATGACGACAAAACCAATTGTTTACTTCCTAATAATCAGTTTGCGTGTACTGGGACATCACTTTACCCAACTTCTGATGAGGTTTTGATCACTTTGGGGTAGTTTAGCGATGCAAACCACTACCTTACTATTTATTTGATCAAACCTACTATACAAGCTGACTATAATTAATATTAACTCAATAATTAAAGTTCAGTTGTAGCATAAAAAGTCTTACTATCCTATATAAATAGTTAAATTTTGTTTTATTTGAGTATTATAATTTTACTACTGTTTTAGAATGGCTAAATAAGGTATTAAAATCCATTTACTATTTTTAGCAAATATGTCCAATAAAATTATCAAATGAACACAGTTTCTAGTACATTTTACTGTTGTATAATCACATTATAGCGAATAGTAGGGAGAGTTGCAAGAGTAAAGGAAAGGATTGATTTTTGTATCTTTAAACAGAAGATGAATTGGTCTCCAAGGGGTGAATTGGAGCATGAATATTTAAATACAAACTTCCTTGTAGTTCCATTTCATTGTAACAAATTCTGACCCCTCCACTATTCTCATCCTGCCGGTATTTTATCCAAGCTCTATTTTGAATACACCAATTTGTAAATATGGCGGCATTAATTCCACACATACATACAAAAGAGAAGTTTTTTGAACTATACTTGGAGTAAAAAATAGAGTTATCGCACAAATATTGAGTATTTTAACTAGTAATGCACAAACATAATCGGCAAAACAAAACTCCAAAAAGGAGGGGTTTTCACAGTTTTGCGGGATTACTGGACTTATACTATTGAGGTGCATTAGGCTATGTACAGAAAGTAAAGTCCACTATTCAAAGTCCAATCACTGTTGCACATATACATACATTAGATAATCCAACTCTGTTCATTTTCTTTAGCAAGCAAGAATTTGCCTTATTCTTCCAACATGAACTGCTGGTTAATTAGGCACTTTTTCTTGAGGGAAACAAACTTAATCAAAGTACATTATCAAACTTTTAGAGAAAGTGACGCTTGGTCAGGTGTGTGCTGAATATGAATACTAAAGGTAGGTAGGATGGAATAAGATGATACGGAACATCCATTGTCCATGTAATAAAATACTCTAAAAGATCAGCCAATTTCTTACCGATTGGAACAAGAAATTTGCCTTTCAAAATAGATGTGGGGGGTAAACTTGCCTAAAAATGTTCAAATGGACTGTATGTTGAAAGAGCAATATTAAAAACTTGTCACTAATTATTTAACAGATAATACTGTAATGAGATTGATGAGGTACCTTCCTTTTAACTGAAGTGTTGAGAAGACGAAGCCGGTAGACGTACACGAGTTTCTTCTGCTGGCCAGCTATTGCGTATTGCTCGTACACAGACCCGGACCGGCAGTAGTAGTGTTTCACTTCACAAATGTTCAATAGTTCACTTTTACTTTTAATATGTGTCACTAATAATAATTAAATATACTTTGGGGTTAAGAGATGAGAGCAGCAATTGGGAGTTAATTGTGCCGGGGACATGTTAGTAGTTGCATGAATGCAAGAGAACTGGGGCGAGATTGGGGTTTCCAGACATCACGTGACAGGACAAAGGTTATTGTATGATATGAAACGTCTGGAAATATCTAGGTAGCGCTTGAATACGGAACATGCCGCCCGCCTTGAACCGTACATGGTTCAAAACATTGAGAAAGTTACAAAGTGACACATAATGAATAAAGATTGACATTGAAATATAAGAAACATAGATTAAATATATATACATTGAAAATAGAAATATGTTTGAAAATAGAATAAACATTTTGTTTGGTCTGATAATGAGATCAGGGGAGCGGGTACACCTTGGTAGCAGGACGACAGAAGGTTCCCCGCTGAGTCTTGATGGTGACAACTCGGACGATGCCGTCTGATCCAGGCGAAGTCTTCACTATGCGTCCAAGAGGCCAAAGTAGTGGTGGTGTTCTAGGGTCCTGAATTATAACGAGATCACCCACTTCTAGATTCTTGTTGGGCTTTTCCCATTTCTTTCTTTGTTGTAGCTGATGTAAATATTCTTGATGCCAACGTCGCCAGAAGCGTTGATGTAGGGCTTGTACAGTTTGCCAATGGTTGAGACGATTTTCGGGAACCTCTTCAAGATTTGGTTCCGGTACTGCTACAAGAGAAGTGCCGATAAGAAAATGACCCGGAGTAAGGGCTGAGATGTCGGATGGATCTGCGGATAACGCTGTCAAAGGTCTCGAGTTTAGTACAGCCTCCACCTGTGTGGCGAGTGTTATTATTTCCATTAGTGTTAGAACTCTATCGCCTATGACTCTTTTCAGATGATATTTAGAACTTTTTATAGCACTCTCCCATAGGCCTCCTTGGTGGGGAGCGGCTGGTGGTTGAAAGTGGAAATTTATTGAGTGATCTAACGTGAAGTTGTTAAGAGCATCTTTAGTGTTTGATTCCTTGATGAAATTCTGAAAAGTTTTCATGAGTTGCTTTGAGGCTCCAACATAGTTAGTTCCGCAATCTAAGTATAAGTGGGCACACAATCCACGACGAGAAACAAAACGTTTTAGTGCAGCTATGAAGGAGTCTACAGATAGGTCTGTTACAATTTCTAGGTGCACAGCTTTCGTAGCAAGACATACAAAGAGGCAGAGGTATGATTTTAACCGTTGAGCGTTCCTAGTTGAATGAACTTTAATGTCAAAATGTCCACTATAGTCCATGCCAGTGTGATAGAATGGCCTTACAGGTTTTAATCGAGTTTCAGGAAGATCTCCCATCAGTGGAGGTTTGTTTACAGGATTAAGTCTAAAACATCTTTGACACTTGAAAATCACAGATCTTATCACGCTGCGGGCTGATAATATCCAAACCTCTTGAGACAGAATAGACTGCAGCAATTGAGGGACTGCGTGTAGATGCTTTAGGTGATAATGCATAATCAACAGTTTGACAGCACAGTGAGATTTAGGTAACAAAACTGGATGTTTCGCATCTTGTGTAAGGTTGGAATGTTTCAACCTGCCGCCTACTCGCACTATTCCACTGTCATCAATATATGGGGATAAACGAGCAAGTTTTAAGCTGCATTGAGATCCCTTTTTGAGAGCAGAGATGTCATCCTTAAATGATGTATTTTGTATGAGTTTGAAAATTCTTAATTTCGCTGAAGAAGTTTCTTGGCAAGTAAGTCGTCCGATGCGGGGATCATTGGCTTGCAGATTATGAATGAATCGCAATATATATGCCATGACATTTACAAGTTTTCTGAAACATGAATATTTTTCTAGTACATCAAAATCAGTGAGTTTAATCTTCTCTGTGGTTGCTAGAACGTTTAGAGGATTTGGCCTTATTTCAAGAGTGTCATCATCAATAACAGGTGTGAATTTTGGCTTAGGCCAAGAATCTGGAGATGACTGTAACCATTCCGGTCCATTCCACCATAAATGATGAGTCACAAGTTGAGAGGGTGAAAGACCACGAGTGGCGCAATCTGCCGGGTTGTCTTGAGATTTGGCATAATTCCATGAGTGAGGAGAGACCAATTCTTGGAGTTCTGAAATACGATTGGCAATGAAGACTTTCAAGCGGTATGGAAGAGTACGTATCCAGGTTAGGACAATTGTGGAGTCACACCAAGCATAGATTGATTCAATCTTCATATGAGCAGAGAGTATGTTTGAAGAATATTGAAGAAGTTTTCCCAGTAAGTGAGCGCCACAAAGTTCAAGCCGTGGCAGAGAAATTCTTTTCAAAGGAGCGACTTTTGATTTAGAGACGATTAGATAGAGCCTTGTATTCTCTTGAGAGTCAGTGACACGAAGGTAGACAACAGCAGCGTAGCCTTTCTCTGAAGCATCGCTGAAGCCGTGGAGTTGCACAGCCGTATGCAGAGAAGTAGAAATGTAGCGTGGAATTCTTAATTCTTGAATTATTGGGAGTTCTTCTAAGAATGAATGCCACTTGGTTCTAACATCATTTGGAACAGGTTCATCCCAAGTTAGCCCTGTTGTCCAGAGATACTGAATAAGTGTTTTTGCCCAGAAAATTACGGGTGTAAGAAATCCTGGTAAATCGTACAGTTTAGCGATTGTAGATAATATTCTTCTCTTTGTAAGTATAGCACTTATTTCAACATCCTTAACCTTGTAAGAAAGCATGTCAGACTCTGGAGTCCATTTTAGACCCAGGACACTGAAGAAGGCTTCACTATTTTCAGTTAACTCCACTGGAGTCTCTTTGTGTTCAATTGGGGCTTGGTCCAATAGTTGGGGTGCGTTGCTAATCCATTTCCGGAGCTCAAAACCTCCTCTAGAGAGTAAGTTCTTGAGTTCATTCTGTGCAGACAAAGCTTCATCAAGACTTTCTGCTCCAGCGATGATGTCGTCATAAAATATCGATTTAGTTAGAATCTCAGACGCCTTGGGGTATGAGTGACCCTCATCTTTGACCAATTGTTGTAATGTTCTGATCGCAATGAACGGGAAACAGTTGAGACCGTAGGTGACGGTATTTAGCTTTAAGACTTGAAGGGATTCATCAGGGTTGGATCGCCAAAAGATTAACTGATATTTCTTGTCATCTTCAGCCACCAGAATCTGGCGATACATCTGTCGTATATCACAAGTGAACACAAACTTGTGACACCTAAAGTACAGCAAGACATCACTAATATCATTCTGCAACTTAGGGCCAGGCATGAGGATATCGTTTAGGGAGACGCCATTATTTGTTTTGGAACTACCATCAAATACGACTCGTATTTTGGAATTAGGGGGATTCGCCTTAAATACTCCATGATGGGGTAAATAGTAACATTCACCAGAAAGGGGTTGCTCACATGCACTCATGTGACCTGATTTGATGTAGTCATCCATAAATTCGGAGTATAAATCTTTGAATTCGGGGTGAGCAGCAAATTTTCTTTCCATCGCTTTAAGTCTAAGTTGAGCTGTACTACAAGATTCACCTAATAGTGGATGATTTGGTTTTTTCGGTAACTTAACAACATATCGACCAGAGTTATCACGTGTATGGGTTCTTTCAAAATGCTGTAAGCAGAGAACATCTTCTTCTGACTGAGTCTTGACACATGTCGGGGGTTCTTCGATTGACCAAAACCTTTGAAGCGAACTGTGAAGGTCTCCATCATGTGTAGTGAGAAAAGAAACAGTTTTTGGGATTGATAACTCAGATGTAGCAACAGGAGCTATGCCCATTACAACAAATCCGAATATAGTTCCTAAAACTTGGGGCAGGTTATGGCCTAAGAAGTGCTGCTCACCAGTCAGTGAGAGAGCGAATAAATCATCTCCGATCAATAGATCAATTTCTCCAGGTTTGTCAAAACAGGGGTCTGCAAGAACAAAATCATTTAAAGATCCCTTCACCTGAGGTGAGACTGGGATCTGAGGCAGTGGTGAAGTGATACGATTCAAAACCAAGCATGGATGATGGTAGGCTAAGCGTTGACCATTAACTGCAGATATATCAATGTGTACTATTCCTCTAGAATGAATTAGTGAGCCAGAAATTCCTTGGATTTCATCATGTGCTCGAGTACGGGAGGCACTGATGAGCTGAACAGCTCTTTCAGATATCAATGTAAGTTGAGATGCAGAGTCGAGCACAGCACGGAGTACAGTTTGCTGACCATCTTTGGAAAACACCTGAACTAAACATGTTCCAAGTAAAATTGTTGTTTTAGTTGGGTTTAACTGGCTAGACAATCCTACAAGAGCACTTTTATTCACTGGTGCGGTGACATGGCTTTGGGGTGCGTTATTTGTAGGCGGCTTACCATATTTTTTTTCAAAAACCTTGGTTGGGTAACTTGGCTGCTGTTGTGTGGGAGTTGAGTCATGTAAGAGAGTGTGATGTCGCTTTGAACAAATTCGACACACTCTATGAGAAGGACAGTTATTAGTATCATGTAGATGGCCAAGGCAGTTGGCGCATAGATTATTTTTACAAGTGAATTCAACTCTATCACCTCTACTTTTAGCCTGAAAGGCTTGACACTTGTATATATTGTGATCGGATGCTTGACAAAACTTACAAGTGTTAGTCACTGTGACGAAAGCTGTTTTAGCTTGAGAGGAGTAAGGTTTACTATCTCGAAGAGGTTTAGGCCTATAACTATTAGATTGAGTCTTTTGCACTGAAGGGTATCTTGTGTTAGCTGAGGGACCAAGACCGATACTAGCTCCTTCTAATCGTTTAAATTCTCTTTCAAGGAATTGAATTAGATCATTTACTGCAGGTATGTCATTGTTTGTGATGCGAGAATCCTCAAAAGATTTTCTTAAATCAGTAGGTAACTTTTTCAAAAGCGTTAGGACAAGCAGAGTATTTTCAGCTGTTATGTCATGGTTGAGATTTTTCAAAACTTGAGTGTTCTCTTTATAAACTGTGAGAAAATGTTGGAGACTTTTGAGAGAACCACTACTTATGCATGGCAAATCAATGATTTTTGTAACAAGCTGAGTTACAACACGCCTTTTATTATCATAGCGATCCTTAAGCAGCCTAAGTGCAACATCAAAGTTTTCTGCAGTTATGCTTAAGCTCTTTACTAAATCTAAGGGTTCACCACTTAAAGAACTAAGCAGATATTGGAACTTACTCACAGGGGCCAAAGTTTCATTCCTATTAATAGAAGCCTCAAAAATATTGTAGTAGCTAACCCATTCTTCGTAGTTACCGCTGAATTTGGGCAACTCAAATTTGGGCAGTCGCAGAGATGGTTGGGTAGGAGGTGTTACTTCTTTAGTTTTAGCAGGTAACACTATTTTCATGTCACTGATCAGAGAAATGTACAAGTCCGAAATTTCATCTTGCATAGAGCATGCTTCAGTTTCGTCATAATCAGAACCAGGATCATCATAAACCACTTTATCGAATAAAGCTTTAAAATCAGAGAATAAACCTCTAACTTCATCATCATAGTTGTGTAAGCGCTGAATGGAAACAACATTTAATGATTGAGTTTCTGAGAGAGTAATTTGGGCTGACACAAACTTGCTTATTTTCTGAAGCCTATTTTTGACAAGTTTTGCCTTTTTCTCTAGTGTAGAGAATCTCATTTTAACAGACCATTTATGTAATCAAAAGAGTAAGCTATAGGCCTAAGTTTATCATAAGTTTAGGCCTACGTAAATATTCACCAACACCTAAATATCAAAATAACTCCAAGTCTTAGACCTAACAATAATGCAAATTAATAGCTCAGAATAAATCAATTCATTTACATTCACTCTATAAGAAATAATGAATGTAAAATTATATTTCACTTTACCATCAGACCCAGGATAGACATAGTAAATAAAGGTAAAGTCTATTTAACACAAGTCATTTAATTTGAATCAGTATTTTTGCAGAATATATTGAGTAGGGAAGTATTTATTATGAGCAATATCCTTAATGTAGACAAGAATCGATTCAACCACTAATATTTCGTTTAATATTCACACAAAACAATATTTTCCAAGATGTAAATAAACTTGAAGGTTACGTTTATATTTTGATTCAATTCACACAGCTGTATGTAGCTGGAGTGTGTTTTATATTCAGTCAGCTGATTTCCTGTGCTTGAAACAGAGTTTTACATATGATCAATTTGAAGAAGCAATATCATTGGGCGATTTATTCTGTTTTACGAATCTCGACGCTCATTGGTTCTTGCGACGTGCAGACTGTAGGCAGAGCGCTCTAGTGGAGAAGTTCGCTACCAAGGTGCATCGCAAGGACAGAAAATATAAAATGGCTGACTTTCTGATAAGTGAAAATATGTTAGAAAATTAAGGACGAAACAAAGTGCAGACAAAAATTATTGTTAATGACAATAATTGATATGGTGAATTGATTGAGAAACTTAGAGAAAATATTAAATATCCTAACTAATTCCTGATTTCAAATAACTATTTGAAAGGAAATATGACGTGATTCATGTAGCAGTGGGAGGGCATGAACATGAAACTAACATGAAATATTCACGTCTGAGATGGCACAGGGGAATGAAATAAAATATTATTTATTCACCAAAAATAGTAATGGGGAATACAAATGCTGCTCTAATTATTTAGAGAAGTGACACTTTTAAGAGTTTAGTTGTACAATTTTAACAGTTAGAGTAGCTAGGCTAATAAAAGCACAATATATTATTAATGATATGATTTTCGTCCGGCTCGAAGGACCAGCGGATGGGGGGTAAACTTGCCTAAAAATGTTCAAATGGACTGTATGTTGAAAGAGCAATATTAAAAACTTGTCACTAATTATTTAACAGATAATACTGTAATGAGATTGATGAGGTACCTTCCTTTTAACTGAAGTGTTGAGAAGACGAAGCCGGTAGACGTACACGAGTTTCTTCTGCTGGCCAGCTATTGCGTATTGCTCGTACACAGACCCGGACCGGCAGTAGTAGTGTTTCACTTCACAAATGTTCAATAGTTCACTTTTACTTTTAATATGTGTCACTAATAATAATTAAATATACTTTGGGGTTAAGAGATGAGAGCAGCAATTGGGAGTTAATTGTGCCGGGGACATGTTAGTAGTTGCATGAATGCAAGAGAACTGGGGCGAGATTGGGGTTTCCAGACATCACGTGACAGGACAAAGGTTATTGTATGATATGAAACGTCTGGAAATATCTAGGTAGCGCTTGAATACGGAACAAGATGTATCTTGCCCCATTTATGTAGATACTATATATTATTCATAAAAAAACCATAGTTCAAAAGTAAAATATATACATAAATTCTTATATGAAATAGCTGAAAAACGTATTAATGCAATTTAAAGATTTGAACACCGCAGGGAAAGAAATATCCCACGATATTTGAAAAATGTAATTTTAGTGGACAATCTGTGATAAGAATCAAGGGTTTGACTCAGAAAGAAAACAGGAAAAAAAACAATTACACATCCGAAAAATCAACAAGTGACATATATTCAATATTTTTAATTTTTTTTTATACAACGCTGTAATCAAGGTTCCTGTCCTTTTGGATAAAAATTACATATATTTCGAGGATATTTTTTTATCATGACTTATTATTATTTTACTGTTGTTTTTATGATCTTTTTTAACTAGCCAGCTTTTTTTGCTATAGCTGAAGCAGTATGCAGTATCAGTTATTGTCTTAAATCATAGTTAAATACATCCTGATTTTAATATGTTTTATGGCGATGTCAATAATTAGAGTATAAACATGATAGAAGAGAAATTTACCAAAAAATAACTGTTCATAGTAATAGTATATTTAAATGTGATAGTCATTTAAAATATATTTCATAAAAGACTCGACACTATACAAAACACAAAGACCAACATTGCAAACAGAAAACAAATAAAGTTTGTGAGGGTTGGGGAAATGAAAAGGTTCAACCACTGGAAACTGTAAAAAGTCATCTTCAAACAAACAGAGTGAGAAGATGAATTGTGCACTAGATAAAATGACTTTTATTTCGTTACTTATGCATCCTAAATATATTCTTCTGACAATTAGATTAGACACAACGTACTACGTTTTACATTTTAGTATATTAGTACTAATTATCCGGAAAATAAAATTGATTTTAACTATGCTATATTGTCTTTTAAAACTTCAGTAGTTCGACTAGTAGTGTACATCGTTGATCTTTGAGAGATATAAAGTAATTTGTCTTTGACCTACCTTCTTGTATCAAAGACAAAAGTAATGATTGGAAACTTGTAAGTTGTGTGTGATCAATCACTGTGTTCACAACCAATTCCAAACTGTAATACTATAAACAGCAATGAATTACATGAAAAGCGAGTCCTGTGATATGTCCATGTATGTTGCTTGAAAAAAAAACAAATCAGTTTAGAGGTTAATACAAAGTTCACTCTAATATTATCCGCAGGCTCAATAACTTCACCTTAATTGACTTTTTAACTCATATCCAAATAATGCCTTACGAAATATAATGTAAATATGTAGCCTTATAACATTCCAACTTACAGCAAATCTCGAAATTATTCAATACATTACAACATACTGAAACTCCTAAGAAGTATATCAAACACATTTACAAAGTTAAATAATTTCTTTCGGGATCACAATTCTATATGGTAGCATCAGTATCATGCAGATCAATTTATGATAAATTATATGATTAATGAATTGCCATTTTGGTAATAAAAATAATCCTAAATAAGGTTCCTGAAAGTGTTTAATTTTACTAATCGAATTATGGACATTATTATTACAACAAAGCTTAGCCCTCGTTAAATTTCAAAGGGTTATAATCCTATTTAAGAGATTTAATCATAAATCTAAAGTCCTTATTAAACAGAAAATAAGTAGTAAAACAAATTACATTAACTATTTAAAACCATGGAGTTAGAGTATAAATATAAATAACTTCTTTATCAGCATAGTACGTGTTATTAAACTACCTGAAAGCACAAAAATAGTCAAATTACACTTATGATAATATATTTACACTAATACTGTTTACTCACAAGACGGTAAATACACATAAAAGGTGGTAAGTAGTGATCAATTTCTATTGGACACTCTAATCATCATCAAACCCAATAGGCAATGCTATACCCAATGCCTATTGGGTCTGATGATGATTGTGAGTGCCCAATCAAAATCAATCACCAATTACCATCTTTTATATGCATTTACCGTCTTGTAAGAAAACAGTACAAGTGTAAATGTATTTTTACAAGTTGTATTTGACGTGCATTCAAGAAAAAAAATATATATATATATATTTATTTATTTATTTATTCTTTCAACGTTAACACCATTTTTACATTGGAATATACATTAAATAGGATTAATCACATTATAAACATAGCATAATTAGGTAATAAATATGAGCAATAATAAGAATAAATTAGAAAGCAAACATGACACGCAAAAGACATAACCAGTATAAAAGAAAACAAAAATACATTCACAGGCTGAAACATTTCAATTGTAAGACGTACATAAACATAGAAAATTTGGTAAAGGCTACTAAAATACGTGCAATAAAAAAAGAATGAAAGTGAAAAGCAGGCATAAAATGCAAAATACATAACCAGCAAATAATATGGCGCATAGATAACAACAACAGGTAAAATATGAAGTGCAAAAACATAACAACAACAATATTTAACAATATGCAACCGAGACATAACAACAACGAGAAAAAAAAGGAAACAACAGGTACAATACCGGTAGGCTAACAAAAGAAATAGTAAGATACAACAACAACACAACAAATAATAAATATATATATGTACAAAACAAACAGCCATAAATTGATTTAACAAACGCAAACACAACAGGAAACTTATTAAGTAAACAAACAGGAAACACCAACTGGACACAGATGTGGCCCTTTAAAGGCACCACCAAAAAATAACTGAACTTACTGAGGCCCTTAGGCAGCCACTATTTTAAAAAGGCAATGGCATCAATCAACATTAAATAATCACAACTAACAATCAAAACTAAACAATCAAAATTAATATAGCTATACTAGTAATATAAGCTTTTGTCGCTACCAAAGCTTTAATAAGATTTGCCGTCTTGGTTTGAAGGGACAAAACAAGCAACCACTGTAAACTGTACAGTCATCTGAAAACATTCCTGAATAAAGGGACTCAAGTGTATGAGTTTTGTTCTGAGGAAGGATTATATTCTCTTGAATCTCAGCGTTCCTTGCTTATCATTCTTAAGCTTCTTAGTTCCTAAAGCTTTGTTAGCAAAACCCAGACTACAAACTGTAGTAATAACAAATTATTTTCTTGTAATTGGAGACTTCTTTGATTTGAATTGTTATTCTTAGTAGAGATTTGGTTTTCGTTTCA